ATGCTGGTGGTTTCAAATGGAAATAATTCTTGGAAATTGGACTACTGGTTACTTGTTTAAAGCCTACATTTTGTCCATGTCCTGAGACTGTGGGAGACTTGAGTTTAAAAGTGACATAATATATCTGATGGAAGAAATTTCAAGGCAGCACAGTATTCAGGTAGTGGAATAGGGGGAATGAGGGGAAAGAAAAGGGTGGGGAAGGGGAACAGGGTCTGAAATGGAGTAAATCAAATTGTATGCATGTATGATTTTGCCAAAATGAACCCAACTACTACTTAAAATACAGTGCTCTTAAAAAAAAAAAAAAGGAGCAAATAGATAAGGGGAAATTTGTATTTTGACCAGAAAGGGGCACATCTATAGGTGCACCCAAGGAGTGAATGACTGCAAGAGAGCCAAATGCTTTAAACTGGGACAACAGAAAGAATGCCTTATGGGCACCTCAGGAAGATTTTCTAGGACACAATCCTTTAGAGAAGAAAACCCTAAAGTATATATCATGTGGAGTAAAAAGTACTCCCTTTCTGCATCTAAACCTGACTGGTAGGAAACAATGCTATTTTGTTTCTAATTTGTTGCTTCTCTGCTTAACCCCAAATTGTTGTGTCTTGGCTGGCAACAAAAGAATTACTGAACTAGTTACAAAGAAATGAAAATGTGTTTTAGAAGAATGGGGCAATGTAAGCAGGGAAAACAAGGGAAGAGATCTTTTATCCTCACTGCAACCCCCCCCCCCAAAAAAAAAAAAAAAAAGGTTTTACTATTTCCTAAGTATGATATAAAAATAGTGCTCAGGGCTGGGGTTGTGGCTCATCGGTAAAGCGCTCGCCTAGCACGTGCGAGGCCCTGGGTTCGATCCTCAGCACCACATAAAAATAAGTAAATAAAATAAAGATATTAAAAAAATTATATTTAAAAAAATAGTGCTCAGTGAAAAAAGTCAGACAACACAAAACTGAGATTCAAAAAGTTCTCCCAGTTGTACAAATCCAGAGGTGGTGATATGTTTAGCCTTAGCCTCCTAGATTTGTGTTCCTGTTAGTTAATTAAAAGGAACATTCATGTTTTGAAACTTTACTTTTCATTTAATAATTCAGTGTGCCTAACCTGTGTATCAAGAAATGCTATGTTCTGGATATTATGTGGTGTGGTACCCTCTGCCTTGGCACACATTAATTATAAGAATTTTAGTAATTCTCAAAATTTTCTTATCCTAAAATATTAAACCTTGCTTTGGGTGTATTGTGATGAATGTAGCATGTATTATATGCTGTAGGGATATAAGAGAATTGTACCCTGATCTTACCTTGGGTGGCTAGGCAGGAAATAATTTCCTTTGATAATACATGCACTGTCTGCATAATATTTTCTAGACTTTTCCTGTTCTAGATAAACTGTTGTTATTTATTCTTTGCAGTTTGGCCAAGGATATTTCCCAGCATATTTAAAAAATTTATGTCCCTTTGCAATTTAAGAATTGAGTATTTTATATTACACTTAATAAACTGCTTCTCAACTACATGTGCTATATATGCTTTAATTTTTGAGATACCTTTCAGAAAAAACTTTATAGATGAAGGAATCAATCATCCTATGTTCAAATTTTTCCTTTAGTGTGTATGCCACAATTGTCCCCCGAAAAGTCAATAACCACTTCTTTAGAGATTCACAAAATGATGACTATGACATTTGATAAACAGGTTTGGTCTTTCCATGGCAATGTTCTAATAACCACTTCTAATAATGACAGTCTTTTAGTAATCATATATTATGATACACTTCATCATAGTATAACTTCTGGGTAGTGTTTTAGAATATGGAATTGCTTCAAAAAGGAAAAGAGTTGGAACTTTATGTGAAAAATGATCAGGTTCAATTCTCCAAGTTCCCTGAAGAACTTAGTATTCACTTTTCTACTTACAGCAGTAACTAAAATCCAACTGATCTAGCACCTAAAATGACAGTTTTTCAATAGGTTCTTTTTGATTTCATTATAGTCTTTATTCATTCAGAAATATGTATATACCAATACTTTAATGCCTGTTTCAGTTATAAAATACTTCTGCCCCAACATATTTTCCACAATAATTATAGATTCATGGGAAGTTAATCAGTAAAAAAGAATGTACAGGGAGATTCTGTATTTTTCTTTATACAATTTGTTCTAATGCACTATTATGTAGTATATAGTTTTATGGAATTTTATCTCTTGTCTGTGTAACCAGTGTCAAGATATGGCATGTTCTACCACAAGCCCCCTTTTATACCATCTAAATAAGCTGACAGAAATCTTTAGGTGTCTCTTTCTGCATTCCGTTTTTTTTTTTTTCTTCTTTTTGTGGTGCTGGGCATTGAACCCAGGGCCTCCTGCATGCGAGGCAAGCACTCTACCAATTGAGCTACATCCCCAGCCCTCTCCATTCCATTTTATGTTTGGGCTTCTGAAAGTCTTGTCATAAACTGAAGCCATCCCTAATCTGTCTTCCATTCCTAGCACATAGCAACCACTAATCTATTTCACATCTCTAAATAGAAATAATATTGTAATTTTTTTCTTTCTTTTTTTTTTGATGGTGCTAGGGATTGAACCCAGGGCTTTGTGCATTTGAGGCAAGCACTCTACCAACTGAACTGTATCCCCAGCCCTGTAAACTTTTTGAGATAGGCTTTTTTTTTTTTTTTTACTGAGCATAATTCCTTTAAGGTCAATCTAAATTGTTGCATGTATTGAGTTTGTTCCCGGAACAATGACAGCTCAATGGTAGTGTACATGTATAAAGAACCTGTTTGACTCCCAGCAACACATGTGCATGCACACATATGCATACAGAATTTCTTTGAAATACTGCAGAGTATTACATAGTATAAACATACTAAAATTTAATCATTCACTTATTCAAGTACATATGGGTTGTTTTCAGGTTTTTGCTATTGAAGTCAGGTGGAAGAGATAAGGCTAGACAGATAGGGAAATGGGCCCCTGGTTGACTTCCTGAGCAGAAGAGCACAAACAACAACTGTAATTTTTTTGCTAAGAAACTTGTAAAAAGGTTGGACCATATAAAATTGGGATGAATGTGACTTGGAGTCACAGCCTCGTCAAAGAAATAAAAATGCCCCATCAATATTTTGATTGGACTAAAAGCTGTATGAGTGCCTTACCCAAGATTGGGCAGGGTGCTGACTTTCTTAAATCTATAGATCCATATAAACCCCTACACAATAGCCATCTGATTTGTTTTCACCTTCTGTTGTCCATGAATTTTATTCTTTAAATTTGTGAGACAAGCCAGCTGACAACACACTCTCTATTACACTATTACAAATAAAGCTGCTTTGTGTTCAGGATTTTATTTGAGCAAAATTGTCATTTCTTAGGGAAAATGTCCAGGAGTACAAAATGCTGGGTTGCATTTTAAGTGCATGTTAAATTTTATAAGAAACCACCAAGAATATTTTCGAGAGTGGCTCTACTATTTCATACCCAATGTGTGAGTGAGTACTTCAATATCTTGCATTCTAGCAAAGCAACCCTAAAATGTATCTTCTGAAGTTCTGGTCTCTAGTTTTCTCCTACAAATGCCAATACTATTAGAATTGAATTCAAGAGTAGAAAGGTTAGGTGTAGTCCAACCTCCCATTTGATACTGTATGTACAAATAATCACTTTTATAACATTTGATGATTATTACTATTAATCTTAAACTTACAGTATTGGGGGCTGAGGATATAGCTCAGTTGGTAGAGTACTTGCCTTGCATGCACAAGGCCCTGGGTTAGATCCCCAGCACAACAAAATATTTTCAGGATTGCGAAATATAACATTGAGTTTTTTTTTTTTTTTTTTTTATCAGTGTTGGATAATTCTCATTGTTCATTTTACTGCTTCCCCATTTTCTTAGCTTATATAGGAAGAAGACACTAATACACCTAAGACTATTTAAATGGAAAAACTCTAGTAAAAGCAGTGTTTTTGTTTTTTTAAGTTCACATTATTAAACTGTTGATTCAGTAAATAACCTACAGGGTTTTTTCCTGCCCTACATCTTCTCGTCTTTTTCTTTTAGATGTAGAGACTGTCTTAATATACTCTCTTGCACATAATATTATTCTAGGCCTGAATTCTTGAATCTGTGCCCTTCTCTGGACAAAAATTTTAATAAGTGTATATGGCTCTAGTTTATGATACAAGGCTTTCAGAAGTCCAGGCAAGGTCCAGGCTCATACATGTTATATTTTAACAAGTTTTAAGATAAATTTAAAATATTTCTACAAATGAAGAAATAGGCTAAAAGGAGCCTGATTTCCTAAGATCATCCAGTTAGCAAATGTTCACAGGTAACTTATAGAATTCCGTATTGTACTGAATAAAAAGTAAGATGTCTGAGCCATCTTCCAGACTTAATAAATTCCTGGGACAGAGGAGTGGAACAAATTCCCTGGTGGTACATGTCTGTAATCCCAGTGACTAAGGAGGCTGAGGTTGGAGTATCCCAAGTTCAATGTCAGTCTTAACAAGTCAGTGAGACCCTGTCTCAAAAAAAATAAAAAAGGACTGTGGATGTAGCTCAGTGGTAAAGCATTCCTGGGTTCAATCGTTAGCATGAACAAAAATCCCAAGAAAACTGATGATTTTTGCCTCTTTATATTTTGAGGCTCTTTTAGGTACAGTGCATGTCTAGGCAACAGATTAAAATGTACACACATAAATAGAACACAAACTAGTATAATATAAAGAGATGCAAGGAACTATGGGTATTTAAAATGGGACTGGAAACCCATTTAACTTAGATTGAGATCAAGGAAGGATTTAAGGAGTAGACAGCATTTATAATAATTAGTAGATAAGATTTTTCTTTGAAAATATTTTTATTCAGTTTAAATCCCCGGCAACTCCACCAAAAAAAAAAAAAAAGGGTAATTTTTATTATACTTGGTACTCGTAGTCCATTGCTCATTTAAGATGGCTGTTCACAAATATAAAGCAAAACTGTGCATTACACTTCAGATGAAAAAATCATTACATGCTGAATTTATTTCTTTAGAAACTTCAGATAAAGATTTTCATTTGAAAAGATATATGATCACATGTACTCAGTTTCAATTTTAAGATATGTTTAAGAAAAATAAATATACTTGACATGAAATTACATTTCAATTTGTAGTTTCTTTCAATGCTACTTTAAAACAGTTATTTACTTTCTGTATGTTGACATTCAAATGAAAAACAGTACTTTAATAATGATCTAAATGCAAATCAGAATGAACTTCAGGCCTTAAATATTGTAGTACTTTAAGTTTATATAATTAATAAGCAAAGACAAAATCAGCTCTTAAGTGATAAACATGTTAGCATAGTTTTAATTTAGAAAGTGACATTAGAAAATGACATGAAACAGATAAAATGCCTTCAAAATGATTTTTGTTCTTCATTTATAAATTTTAATTTTTTGAGCCAATATAGGTAACATGCTTGTTAAATATTTCACTCTTCATTTTGTTTTGTGTCTATAAAAATATAATTGTCCTTTAATAATCCTAAATTCTTTGTTTTCCAAATAAAGCCACTATTATATGGTGAGTAGTTACTGAATCATAGGTTTAAAATCAGTGGCAAAATCACCTATGTAGAAGGTGATGTAACAGCTTAGTTTAGGTAAGAAATTAAGTGTGGTATACAGTAATAGCCTTATATAAGAGGTAGAATTTTTTAATCACAGTTTTATAGAAAAGATGCAGTAGTTGTATCTGTACCCTGCTTTGTTATTTATGGTACTATAAGTATGCTTCTCATTATGAATTTGACAGAAAGGAGAAAAAGGAGGACTTTTTATTAAGAATGATCTTATTGGCCTTTGTTCTGCATGGGCTTCTCTTAAGAACCTGAAATATTTTCTTGGCCAAATAAGGTAATTAATTATATATGGCATTTACCTCATTTTTAAAGAGGGGATGTGGCTCAATGGTAGAGAGCTTGACTAACAGGCATGAGGTCCTAGGTTCAATCCCCAATACCAAAGGAAGAAAAAAAAAAAAAAGGTCTCTGAATAGTTTCTAGCCTTCTATTTTTCTAGGGCATAAAAAGTAGGAAAATGTATTTTTTTTTTTCATACCACTGAGTGTAAGTTGTAAATGGAATCACTAATTTTCCTGGGTACTGTTATTGCTTGTCAAGAATTCCTACAATATAAATATAAACTATATATTGATGGCTTCTATGCCCAAATTTATATGTGTAGTACTAGAGATTGAACCCAGGAGCAGTCTACTGCTGAGCAACATCCCTAGCCCTTTTTATTTTGTTCTTCATTTTGAAACAGGGTCTCACTAAGTTGTTGAGACTGGCCTCAAATTTGTCAGCCTCCTAGCTCAGCCTCCTGAGTAGCTGGAGGTGTGCACTACCACATCCAGCTATGCCCAAATTTTTCAGTTGTTTCTAACTCATATTTACTATAATACTATCAATGGGTATAACTTAAAATTTGTTTGTTTTATGATGAAGTTAAATTACTATTACTTGAGTAAGATTATATAGACTGTGATAAAATAGGAGATTTTTTTTTATGTATGTATGGCTTATTTAAATATGAGGTGTTTATAACTTGGGACTGTGTTTCTAATCCTTACTTCAACATAAATGAAGTGACTAGAAATGTATAATAAAAATTATAATAAATGTCTACACTTAGTACTAAATTTTATGGTAGAGTAAGTTTCATAAATTGTACCTGAATACAAATAAAAGACAATTCAAAACTGAAAAATTATAGAAAATAAAACCCACAAATAGTTTCCTCAGTTAACTGGAACTTAACCTCTAATGATTTATTTTAGGATTGGCATATCATGATCATCAGATTCCAGATATTTATTTATTTGCAGTTCCATTTAAGTGAACATTATTTTGGATCAGATATTCTTAAATTGTTTCTGATAACATCCAGAACTCAGAAAAGGAGAAATTTATTTACATTAGGACCATATCCTTTTAAGCAATATTTCCTTCACAATTGTTGGTAATAATGTATTACTGAAGTCAATAATCATGTTAGAACTAACATAACACTGTTGATAGATAATATAAAAATAAATTTATTTTATCTTATTTACTGTTAAAATTCTATACCTTAATTAAGGTCTAGACAGAATGCATCCTTTTGGATGCTGACCAACCTTTATCTATGTATCTTCACTTTAGAACACTTTTAATTCTATATCTTCATTTCAAAGAGAAAACTTGTCCTAATTTTAATGAGAAAGTATGCTTTTGCACTTTCAAGAATTAACAAAATGTCAACTTTTGGGAATGTAGGCTAAGTATATAAAACTAATACATTTTGTTAATATTTTACATTGAAATATACTTGGTTTTAAAAATTCTAAAAATGTTTGTTTCAGAGCTGTTTCTATTTATCTTTTAGGAGAGATGCATATGTAAAGAGGAAACTTAATATATTCAATTCATAATTATATAATTTTCACATGATTTATATAACTTACTATATTCAAAACTTTTACAATTGATTTGTAACTGCCACATTTACAAAGAAGTTGTGGGCAAAAGCAGATTTTTGGTGTTGCATTTAGACCCAATATTCATTTCTTTAATTCACTGTGACATACGAAAAATTTTTTCAAAATTAGGAAAATACAATTATTAATATGGCTTCATTCAATTAAACTTATCTTTTATAAAATATTCCTGGTATACACTTAAAAACAACTGAATTGATAAGATTATTTGCACAGAAAGTGAAAACTTTCCTTTCACATTAAAATGATACTTGTTTTACACTTAATGATAAAACATCTTGGAAAAGACTACTAATGGTACCAGTTTATTGCATTTTTATGCCTCTTTTTCTCAATGTTAAGTAATCCAATGGAGTTTTAAGTTCTATTTTTCCTCTTATCTTCAAACAGACTCTTCAGCATATAAACCTGAATGGCTGACACCACTACCATGACCACTAAATTAACCATAGACCAGAAATTGACTCTATCAAAATTGCTTTCTTGTATGTTTCGATCACGAGCTTCAAATGCTCTAAGCAGAGTTTGTATATGACCACTTTTGCTTAGTCTGGACTTGATGCTGTTGATGGATTCCTGAAGATAAAGAAAATTATTTTACTATTAAAGAATATTTCAGATATTTTCAGTTAATGATATGCTTTATGCTAAGTTTTTCAATCTAAATACAATTTCAAGATAGACAGGTACATGATTTAATTAAGGGATAGCTATTTTATTACATAAAGAAACTGTAAGGTTATATAATAATTCTTCTGATGTATTTAAATTATTGTGTTTATAGCTACTTTTAAAAGGAACAAAGATACTATTAATTGATAATAGATAATACGAAATAGATAATATGAGTGGCATTTTGAATAAATTATCTTTTTATCCTTTACAACCTTTTTTTTGGTACGAAGAGGGATGGGGTACTAGGTATTAAACTCAGGGGCACTCTACCACTGAGCCACATCCCCAGCCCTATTTTGTATTTTATTTAGAGATGGGGTCTCACTGAGTTGCTTAGCACCTCGCTGTTACTGAGGCTGGCTTTGAACTCGAGATCCTCCTGCCTCAGGCTCCTGAGCTGCTGGGATTATAGATGTGCACCACCTTGCCCAGCTCCATGTTTTTATCTCACAAAGGAATAGTGAAATTAGAAAATATTCCATTTTTAGATGTGCATACTATACAATCAAAATCATAATCAATATTCCAATATCATATTCATAAAACAAGTCTAACAAAGATGTCCTCTAAATTGTACATTTTCTGAATAAAATATTTTTATAATAGAGTCCTGTTGAAACAAGTTATTAAAAATGATACAGCTGGGCACGGTGATACAAGCCTATAATTCCAGTTGCTTGGAAGGCCGAGGCAGGAGGATTGCGAGTTCAAAGCCAGCCTCAATAGCACCAAGGTGCTAAGCAACTCAGTGAAACCCTGTCTCTAAATAAAATACAAAATAGGGCTGAGGATGTGGCTCAGTGGTCAAGTGCCCCTGAATTCAATCCCTGGTACCAGAAAAAATAAATAAATTAAAAAAATAAAAACGATATAAAGGCCATATGAACAGAAAGTAAGATTGAGATTTAAAATGTCAAACTGTTTATGGCAAAGGTAAGAAAATACTAGAAACATATTTTCTTGAATAATAAATACAAAATGCTTAGTTATCAATTTCCGTCACACAGTAAGGCCTCTGAAATTAATAATTTTTATTATTTTATTAAAAATCATACTAACCAGAATGTCTTCTAGTTTCATCTCCAACATATCTGTACCAGTAATATATTTCTTCCAGTCTTCTTGTTCTTGTGCCTGTTCTCCCATATTATCCAGGATTAATTCAAAGAAAATTACTTTCTCAGAAATAGTGCTGAATGTATTGTCAAAGCAGAACATGTAGTCACCAACTTCAGTCTCAACCCTGTATTAAAAAAAAGTGCATATTTTCAGTTATCTATATTTCTACTTGGGATCAAAGGAAAAACAACTAAAGGTAAAAGAAAAGAAACAACATGGTTTATAAAAATTGAACAGCTTCCTAATAGATTTCCTTAGTATTAACAATAATTTTTAGTTTCTTGGGAAAAACCAGCCTGGACATATATACATTCAAGTAACTGCATCTGTTTTTGGAACAGAAAAATATTAAAAACCTGAGTATAAGATAATTCAAATAAACTTAATTCTTTATAAATGTTAAAAGCTAATTTTATCATGAGTTTGTGTATAAACATGTCTTCCAACCTATCTTTCAAGTGAAATTAATCTGTAAACTGAGTTTTGTTTTCAAAAGTAGCAATGAACTCTCTATACTAAGTGCTTTCTTCCAGTATTCCTAACTAAATACATTTTTATAATACAGTTTTCAATGGTTAGAGATGAGGCCTACAGTCAATAATCAGAATTTTATTCCTAGTGGCATTACCTTTACCGAATAAATGCCATTCACATTATTACTTCACATTCAAAAGAACTGGTAGTTTTTTCCATGGTTCATTCATTCGTTCATTCGTTTGTGAGTTTCCTTCCTTCCTCCCCTACTGTGGACCCCAAACAACAAGAAAACAAACAAGAAACAAACACCACTTCTTTGAAAGACCAGCAAAATTAGTTTACATTCTTATATCATTGAAACACCAGTTATTCAGTTAATTATTTCAAAAGAGACTGTTGATAACACTTTAAGAAACTGGCCAAAAACCAACTCAAATACTCTGGTAGGGCAACTGAGTTTATAAAACCTACCCTACGACAACTACTGACTCAGATGCTATATGATCTAAAATTCAGTCAGAGTAACTGTAAATAACAAAGAATCTTTAACAAAATTCAGTGTACTTAATGTGTCCATTAATCTTTTCCCACATGAAAGTTTTCTTTATTCTAATGAGATTTTTAAAAAATATTTTTAAGTTATAAATGGGTCTTTTATTTTATTTATTTTTTTATATGTAGTTCTGAGGATTGAACCCAGGGCCTCACACATGCCAGGCAAGTGCTCTATCACTGAGCCACAACTCCAGCCCCGATTCTAATGATATTTCTAATAAAGGTTTTGATATATCTAGCAAGTTTCCTGTTTCCTTAGATGAACTTCTAAACCTTCTCAGTTACATTTTATTTTAATTTCATTTATTTATTTATGGTACTGGGGATTGAACTTAGGGTCACGCAAACACTGAGCCACATCCCCAGTGCTGTTTTGTATTTTTTATTTAGAGATGGGGCGATGGGGCCTCACTGAGTTCCTTAGCGCCTCGCCATTGCTGAGGCTGGCTTTGAACTCCCAATCCTCCTGTCTCAGCCTTCCGAGCTGCTAGGATTAAGAGGCGTACACCACTTGGCCTGGCTTTGCATCTGATTTTATATTAAGTCATTTAATTTTCTTTTGCAGTACTGGGGACTGAATTCAGGCTCTCACATGTTAGCTACCACTAAGCTCTATCCCTAGTATCCTAGCTGCATTTTAAACTGTTTATCATCTGATTCTATTTACTTTCTCAAGAAAGGCTTCAACTGGAATTGGGGGACTTAAGGAGTTGGGGTGTGAGGTCAGAACTGCTATGGATTAATATTTCTAATCTTTTTGTGGTCCAGTGTTACATTTGTAGCCTTCAAATATCCTTTATTTCATCATTTTTATTACACTGGACATTACCTTTTGTCTTAGAATATCTTTTCTATACAACACTATAAAAATCATGTTTGAGAAAGGGAGGATCCAAACTATACTTTTCAGTTAAGATCTTCAGTGAAATTCAGATTAATTTGGGGGCAAGTGTCATATATCAAAGGATGCTGAGTGCTTACTGCAACTTGAAAAGGCATTTCCTGAGGAAAACATTCTCTCACAGAAGTCACCATGCTTAAGTTCTGCTGTCAACTTATTGATTTTTATTTAAGCATAACAGATAGCAATGTAAACAGATGTTAACATATGTACTATAAATAGTAATAGCCAATACTTGTATATATACCCCTTCATAATTCACACACTACTTTTACATATTTTATCTCTTTTTAAATACTTTTATTTATTTACTTTTATGTGGTACTGAGTGCTGACCCCAGGGCCTTACATGTGCTATGCAAGTACTCTATCACTGAGCTCTAGCTCCACATATTTTATCTCTTAATCCTTATCAATATTTGGAATTAGGCATAATTGGCCTTTTTCAGGTAAGTAAAATAAGTTTTAAACAAGTTAAGGTACTTGCCTATGATCACACAGATGAAGTTTGTTTTCTGATTTTGAAGTTAATTCATCTTTCTATAATACAACTCAGAGATTGCGTGCATTCTTTGCAATTGCCTCAACTGTGGCAAACTTTTCTTTTGAGCACTTATTTTACCTTTGGAAGGAGCTGAGCAAAGACTGGTGAATACAATGGAGAACAATTTTAAAAGGAAAAAAACATATAAACAAACTATAAAGACATGAATCATGAATATTAAGTTACCCACATGTGGGACATTTCCCAGAGGTACACTTTCTATTATTCTCTAATTTATTCACACCAACAATATAACCAATTAACAAAAAATTTCTGACAGCATTTATTCAGACCATGTATCCTCAATGGGTGTGATATTGCTCAGAAGAGAGCAAAATTTCTTAGCTAATGGCTAATTATAATGGTTTATGACCCTTCAACGTTCAATCCTATCTGAATTTTATTCTTTAAAAATTCAATTTCTCTCATTGGGTTTTTCTAGTATCTTACAAGCAGCATGAAATCATAGAAAATACACAAAATGTATGCAATAACAGTACTATAGAGCAATGAAAAATAGCAGTTTTTTGGAGGACTTTCAATTGATTGACTGCTTGTTCCTGAAATCATACTGCAGAGGTGGTTTACAATATAATATGCCTTTTGAGAGCCACTGGCTCCCATGTGAATATTTATGTTGAATCCTCAATGCTTCTCTGGGGAATTAACAAAAATGAGTATATTTTGTTATTTAATTCTATAGAGGTTATTTAACCCATCATCAGTCATGCCAAATCCTGAAAAAACTATCAATAATATCTGAACAAATAGTAGCTAGTTAAAATTCACTGCCCTTATTAAGCAAAAATTAATTTCTGGGGCTGGGGATGTAGCTCAGTGGTAAAGTGCTTGCCTAGCATGCACAAGGCCTTAGGTTCAATCCTCAACACCATACACATGCACACACACACAAATAATTTTACTAAAAATCATTTTTAAAAAATTAATGTAATTTTCTAATAATTTTACTTTTGATGAAAAAATGTTTTGAATGCTTTAAAAAATTTTTAATTACATTGATATTCTTACACATTTATATAAACTGCTTTGCATTGTATAGTTGATATATTACTATATATTAGCAAATAAATTGCATGAAAAATTACTCATAAAGTTAATTTAGCCAAGTGTTGTGGCACGTGCTTTAATTCCAGCAATTCCTGAGGCTGAGGCAGAAGGATTACAAGTTTGAGGACTGTCTCGGCACCTTAGCAAAACCCTGTCTCAAAAACAAAACAAAAAAAGCCAGTGTGATGGCACATGCTTTTAATCTCAGTGACTAAGCAGGCGGAGGCAGGAGGATTGCAAATTCAAGGCCTGCCTTCAGCAACTTTGCAAGGTCCTAAGCAACTTATGCTAAGTGAAGTTAGCCAATCCCCCCCCCCCCCCAAAATGCCATATGTCTTCTCTGATATAAGAGGGGTGACTCAAAATGGGGTAGGGAGGGAGAGCATGGGAGGAAGATTACCTCCAGATAGGGAATAGGGGTGGGAGGGAAAGGGAGGAAGAAGTGGAATAGCATGGATGGTGGAAGGAGACGCTCATTATTATACAAAATACATGTATGAAGATGTGAATTTGGTGTCAACATACCTTATATACAGAGATATGATAAATTGAGGTATAAAGGTGTATTAAGAATTGTAATAAAAAATAAGAGAGCTCATGTATAATGGCATAATTTGGTGTGAACATACTTTATATACAGTTATAAAATATTGTGCTATTCACCTTCAGAACTTCTTCTATGCCTCATTTACTCATTAGTAAAATGGTATTATTATTATGTACTTTTTAGAATTGTGATGAATAAAAAAAAAGCTAATACATGAAAAGTACTTAGACTACTGCACTGGCATATTAAAAGAATTCAACAAATATGAACTATTTTAAATGAAAGTCTTGATCTTGCAAGTGTTGTGCAGAGATCCAAAGTATCAATGGCTTCCAGCAGGGTTAAGGTGAGCACTGCCGGCTCTTCAAATGAAGGCCTCGAAATTCTGGACTGGCTCTGAGGAGTCTATTGCTTTGTCATGGATAGGAATGATTTCTAGAGGAACTTGATCCTGAGCTTGGGACTCTTGGCTTCAGGAGTTTGGCTGGCCAGGAACTTGAGTGACATTGACCTAATGGCACCTCAGTCAATGGTTTAACCAGTAGACAAATGGAATTCCTGTGTTGCACCTAAACCTTCCAAAAACAGCCTACAATTTGTGACTGGCACAAGGTATGCCCTGATGGCAGCTGAAGTTGGATTCACAGGGCACCTTCATCTTCCCCTTACCTGGCTGAATTCCACTCTCTGGTCAACATTCAGCCTCTGCCAAAGTGTTGCCTCTGTTCTGTAAAATTCTGTACATAGTTCCTAAGTTTCTGCAGGGGGTGATTTTGCTCTTGTTCCAAGGAATAATGATGGTGTTATAACAAATATTTGAAATAAAAATCACACAAAGATAAAAAAAGAAAAAATAAAGTCTTATCTCCCAATGGCTTAATTAGAAGTAATTCTATGGAATAAAGCAATATAATAATTTTCCCCCTAAGAGTTAATTATGATTTATCACTGAAGGAGACCAGTTAATTGGGAAGAAATAAAAAAAAAATGACAGAAATTTTTTATATTCTGAAACTTAGAAGATGAACCACTACTATTCATCTACTAATGTTTTATACAAATGTTTCCCCATGTTCTACATAGGTAAAATATCATTAAAAAGCATTTTAAATTAGTATCCTAAAAAATTACAGTTGAGACTTGTTTTTCTTTCATTTATTTAGTGTTTATTGAGTATCAATTACATGCCAGGCATGTTGGTTAATAAAGACCAATAATTATAATAATAGCTAGTCCTTAAAATAGTGCTATGTGCCAGGGATGTTCTAAGCATCAAATGGTAGAAAGCAAGAGTTTGGGTTCATCCTGTCTCCGCCCTGAACATGCATCCCTGCAGACTTATTTAACTTAATCAGAATTGGGAATCAATCTATTTTGTAGTAGGTTGGAAAAATTAATTTAGAAGCTTATAACATGCCAATCTTAATTTATGGAAAGATATTCCATATTTGTTCTTCCTCTTTCTGTAAACTCAGAGTTTAGTTTTAACACAGTAATGATACTGACTAAAGAAAGTGCTATAGTAAAATAATAAAATAGAAAAGGGAAATATATCAGTGAGATATGAAAAGAGAAGTGAAATGTAAGAAGAGAATATGTCAAACTCTGAACTTAAACAAGCAATTTCTGGTGTGAATCAGGGTAGCACTAACTCAGTTGTACGATTTCTTATTGGTCAGATTTTGCTTTTAAACCTTCTAATTATAAAAAAAAAGTGAGTTCTGAGTAAAACAATCAATTTATACACACACACACACACACACACACACACACACTCAGATCATTGCTTTAAGAAAGAAAACTATGGACATACATGATATAGCTTAGCAGTTCAAGAAATCTGAAGACACAAAACCTGGAACAATACCTTTTCAATTAAAATGAAAAGCCTGTGCTAGCCAGAAAAAAATGCCACAGTATGTTGAAGGTAATACCCAGGAATACTAATCTAGTTAAATACAAAGCAAAGAAAAAATTTAGGATCAAAACAAAATGCCTCGGGGTGGGGGTGTGCTGGGGTTGTGGCTCAGTGGTAGAGTGCTCGCCTAGCAAGTGTGAGGCCCTGGGTTCGATCCTAAGCACCACATAAAAATAAATAAATAAAATTAAAGATATTGTGTTCAACAATTAAAAATATTTAAAAAATGCCTCAACAAAAAGAAAAACGCTAGTTGCAGCTACTGGGGCAGTTGAGGAAAGATCTTATGAGCACAGGGATCAGGGTCATCCTGGACAACATAGCGAGACCCCGTCTCAAAGGGAATCTGGGGGAAGCAAATGAAAGAAAGGGTAATGGAAGACTTTTTAAGTTTAGAAGATGGTCCACCATCAAGGACTGTTTAAAATCACGTGAAGTTATCTAATATTGATATTTAGTACTGAAAATACTAAATTTCTCAGTCTTCAAGATAGCTCACTGGTATTATTCAGCCAAAAGAACTCAAAGAGATTACTTACGTGTGAACTCCATCTGATTTTCTTTGTTCAAAAACTAAGGTTTTGCCTTCTGGAGAGGCAAGGTAGAAATCAATATCTAATCCAGCTCCATCTAAAACCTACAGATGAGCACACAAGAGAAAAATATATATTATAAATTCTGAAAATAAAATATAAAGTAGATCATATGATGTAATGAGAAGGGAGCTGAAAGTTCACCTAGTTCAATTCCATTCATTTTCAGAACTTGTGCTTTCCCTATCCATTCCTATTGCCATAACCTGAATTTAGGCCTTATGGAAGTAACTAAAATAAATATTTCTACAACAGTGGCTTTATTGAGAAGACTCATACAGGGGCCAGAAATAGAAGGCAGTTCACACTTGATTTTAGCTAAAAGGCCAAGAAGCAATTAGAGGGCAGTTCAAATGCTGGGCCTTTTACTTAAAATTTAGGCAATTTAAGCCAGGTGTGATGGCGCACGCATGTAATCCCAACAGCTCAGGAGGCTGAGACAGAAGGATTTCGAGGTCAAAGCCAGCCTCAGCAAAAGTGAGGTGTTAAGCAACTCAATGAGACCCTGTCTCTAAATAAAATACAGAATAAGGCTGGGGATGTGGCTTAGTAGTTGAATGCCCCCTCAGTCAATTCCTGGTACTCCACCCCCGCCACACACACAAAAACCAACAACAACAACAAAAAACCTTAGGCAATTTAAGACAAGCCTCCAGGCAGCTGGGGAGGCTGAAGTGAGAGGATCACAAGTTCAAAGGCAGCCTTGAAATTTAACTGAAAGAGCTGGAGATGTAGCTCAGTGGTAAAGCATCTCAATAACACGAAGAAGGGGGAAGGGAAGGTGGAGAGGGAGAAGATTCTAAATAACTTCTTGAGTTTGTTTCCTCTTCAATTAAAAAAAAAAAAAATTAGCTACTTAATTCAAGATTCCCATGATCTGACCCCAGTTGACTTCTTTATTCTTTTTTAAAATTTTTTTTTTAAAAGAGAGAGAGAGAGAATTTTTTTAATATTTATTTTTTTTTAGTGTTCGGCGGACATAACATCTTTATTTGTATGTGGTGCTGAGGATCGAACCCGGGCCACACGCATGCCAGGCGAGCGCGCTACCGCTTGAGCCACATCCCCAGCCCAGACTTCTTTATTCTTTAACATATTTTTCTACTACAACACAAATTGAATATTCCAACTATTGGCCAATGAACATGATTTGTTCCTTTATAACCCTCAAAGGTCCTTATGAGGGTGATGATAGTGATAACAGCAGATAACAATTATAGTTTCTGCCACACCTTGTTATAAGTGATTTATGTGGATTAATTTATTCCTTATAAAATTCTGAAAGGTAAGTCCTATTATTCTTTTTTCCATAGGTTTTTTTAAAAAATATTTATTTTTAAGTTTTAGGCGGACACAATATCTTTATTTTACATTTATGTGGTACTGAGGACCGAACCCAGTGCCTTATGCATGCTAGGCAAGCACTCTACCACTGAGCCACAACCCCAGCCCCTTTTCCATAGTTTTTTATTGGTACATCATAATTGTGCATAGTAGTGGGACTTGTTGTACATATTTATATTACTCTTATCATGAAAAAAAAAAAAAACACCAAACCTCAAACTGAGGCATAAGAAGTAATTTTTCCAAGGTGATAAAACAAACAAGTGGCACAGTCAAAATGTGAATTTGGTAATCTGTCTCCAGATTAATTTTTTGGATTTGAATTGGGGATTGAACCCAGGGCTGCCTCCATGCTAAGTAAGTAACTGTTCTACTACAGAGCTATATCCCAGCACCCCTGCCCACCTCCTAATACCTTTTAATTTTAATTTGAGAGAGGGTCTTAAACTAAGTTGCCCAGGCTGGCCTCAAATTTGCAATCCTCCTGCTGCAGGCTCCCAAGTAGCTGGGATTACTGGCATGTGCTACTTCGCCTGGCTTCAGAATAATTTTTATTTTTTGATACTAAAGATTAAACCCAGAGGTACGTTACCACTGAGTTATATCCCCAGTCCTTTCTATTTTAAGGCAGGGTCTCACTAAATTACCTAGGGCCATGCTAAATTGCTAAAGCTGACTTTGAACTTGTACTTCTCCTGCCTCAGCCTCCCAAACTGCTGGGATTACAGGTGTGCACCAGTTTGTCCAGACCCAGAGTAATTATTATTAGTTTTTAAATATTTATTTTTCAGTTGTAGTTGGCCACAATAACTTTCTTTCTCTCTCTCTCACTCTCTTCCTTCCTTTCTTTCTTTCTTTCTTTCTGGTGCTGAGGATTGAACCCAGGGCTTTTCACATGCTAGGTGAGCCCTCTACTAGTGAGTCACAACCCCAGTCCCCAGAGTAATTATTAATGAGTATATTGTGTTGTCTCTAGTATTCTTATGGACTCCTGAATGGTTCCTCATCCAACTGTACCCATTTTCTTCAAGAGCTACCAGCTTAAGTTCTCTGAAAATGGTCTCTGCCTCCCCCTAACCCTATCCCCCACCCAGTTCTTGTATATTCTTTCCTGTGTTCCTACAGAAGCCATGCCTGTCCTCTTTGACACTTAATCATATATTATCTGGGATCAAAGCATCTTTGTGATGGGTGAAAATTTTTTTACATTGCTCACTATTTTTATATTTATAACTCTAAGGTCATTTACAATATTACCAATGTTTTGATTTGTCACTGATGCAGATATTTAATAAATCCATCTTTTTCCCATCTTATACAAATTAAAGTGTCTTAATGTTTCCCTGTAGAATCTTTCTCTTGTCTTCCTCTCTTTCATTTCTCTCCCTGCCTTTTCTCTTTTGTATTTATAGCACTTGTTAAAAATGAAAAAAAAAAAATCTATTTGGAACATAACAGCCTCTTAAAAAATAACCAACACTCAATGGCTATTCTTTTTCATAAATAATACTATTTTATTTTTCTTGTTGGTTTTAATGTAATCTTATAAAAGATCATTCTCAGTAAAAACTATTTCTGCACTCTTAATGGTAACAAAACTGGTTTTAAATGGCTGGTGAAATATACATAATTCTTTTTTTAATTTAAATCCTAATGAAATATAAAATATACATAACAAAAATAATCCATAAGACTGGAGGAGCTGGGGACGTAGCTTAGTTATAGCACTTGCCTAGCATTGGTAAAGTCCTAGATTTAATCCCCAGTACTGCAACAAACAAGCCAAAACAAACAGCCTCAAAACACCATTTTCAGATTGAAGAGTAATTTCTGGAAGATATTCACTGAACAAAGTGTATATGTAGCCACCAATATTAATCAATTTCAAAATTCTTAAAACAGATTAGAGAAACATCAAATATTTGTTGAAATTGAGATGTTCTCATTTTCACTCACCACTGGTTTTCTTGGGAATCAAGTTCTCTAAAAATAGTTAACAGACTTAAAAACATGTGTCCTCAGATAAATATACTATGTATCCTCAGAAAAATTCAAGAAGATACTATCCATGGGCTGGAGTTGTGGCTCAATGGTAGAGCACTTGCCTGGCATATGTGAGGCCCTGGGTTAGATCCTCAGCACTGCATATAGATAGAGTAAATAAATATCCATCAACAACTAATAAATATTTTTTAAAAAAGTAAAAACAAAAGAATATACCATTCATAAAAAATGAAGATGTTGCTGGGCACAGTGATGTATTCCATAATCCAAGCTACTCAGGAGGCTAAGGCTGAAGGATCACAAGTTTAAGGCCAGCCTTGGCAACGTAGCAAAACCCTGTCTCAAAATAAAGGGGGGTGCAGCACAGTGGGGATGTGGTTCACTGGTAGTTTAATCCCCAGCATCAAATAAAAATATTTTTTTTCTTACAATTTAAAACTCTGTAAGGATTATAATGATCATGATGACAATTATTTTAATTAAAATGAATGAATTAATGAAGAATAATTAAAACTCTCAACCAAGCCCCATGTGTTTGTATAAGTATGGGAAAAGATGTGGAAGAATTCATATTTAGGAGAATGACAAGTATCCATAAGATCATATGTAATCCCCCCTTTCTCCATGAGAGTGACAGATTGTTTTTTCTTTCATTTTTATACCTTTGACTTATTCTAACAGTAATGTATATTACTTTTTTGTGGGGGGTGGTACAGGGGATTGAACTCAGAGGCACTTAACTACTAAGCCACATTCCCAGCCCTTTTTTGTAGTTTATTTAGAGACAGGGTCTTGCTGAATTACTTAGCACCTTGCTAAATTGCTGAGGCTGGCTTTGAATTCGCTATCCTCCTGCCTCAGCCTCTGGAGCTGCTGGGATTATTACAGGCATGCACCACCATGCTGGGCTATGTTTTAATATGTATTTTTTTTAGTTGTAGTTGGACACAATACATCTATCTAATCTATCTATCTATCTATCTATCTATCGTGGTGCTAAGGATCCTACCCAGGGCTTTGCACGTGCTAGGTGAATGCTCTACTGCTGAACTACAATACCAGACCATGGATGTATATTATTTTTATAACAGGAAGTAAAAAAGTTCAAAAAATATCAGTTAATGAACCAGGAAATAAAATATTCAAAAGCCATTTTTTTGTCAAAGCTCATTAAAACTTTATCTAGTTTATACATACACATATAACATTAGGTGAGTATACCTGCAGATAAAATGGAGATAGGATATTCCAAATGGTATTAGGTATAATATTATACTAGTAATTTTTAAAAAATTAGATGAAATAGACAATTTGAAGGAAAAATACTGAAATCTGACACAAGATACAAAAAATTTAAAAGTCTAATAAAAATAAAACAAATCTGACATAGCTCTTTTCTCCCAAAGACTTACCCAATTATATAAGTTCAGTGAAAATTTGGTTCACCATTGTTAATATTTTTTTAATTAATTAATTAATTTTTTATATGACAGAGGAATGAATTACAATTCTTAACCATTATTAATATTTTTAAGTACCTATTATATACTATGTATTGTTCTAAGCTGAGGGTATATTTTCTTTTAATATTTATTTTTTCAGTTATAGTTGGACACAATGCCTTTATTTTATTTATTTATTTTTATGTGGTGCTGAGGATCGAACCCAGGGCCTCGCACTGCTAGATGAGTGCTCT